GGTTCTACCTAAGTGATTTCCTGATAACACTAGGGAAAAGTGAAGAGTCTATCTCTACATATAATTAATGATATATAAATTATATATATATATATATGCGTAAGGTTTGTTTTTTTTTTTGGTCCAGTCGTGGGCCTGAACTCTGGGCCTGGGCTGTGTCCTCAGCTCTTCAGCTCAAGGCTAGCGCTCTACCACTTGAGCCACAGCGCCACTTCAGGCTTTTTTTCTTTTTGCTTATGTGGTGCTGAGGAGTCGAACCCAGGGCCTCAGGCATGCAAGGCAAGCGCTCTACCACTGAGCCACCTTCCCAGCCCGAGAGTTGAGTTTTTTAATTTAACTTTTTGATTGGTTTTGTTTTAGCTTGTAGGCTAGGTCCCCTGCTTTGCAGAAACTTTAAAATTTGATGCAATCTCATTTATCAAATCTTTCTTTGGTTTGCTGTATTTTGAGGTTGGGTCTCCCAGTGGTGTCATGAGGCTTTTAAGAGAGAATTCATGTGAATTGTCTTTGAAAAGCATTTAGCAATATGTGAACTGAACTTACCATCCATCCCCTAGGACAATTCGGAAAAGATGAAAATGTTTCCTCTACTTCCTTTTGTTTACCAAAGAAGTTAAAATCGACACAGTAGATGCAAAATTTGTACAATACAAACCATTCAGAAGACTGGGGAGATCACACAATATCCTAACTTCCAAGTATAATCCACATCAACATTTATTTGTGTACATCAAACTTATAAAAGGCTTTATTTGGGGGCTGGGAAGGTGGCTCAGTGGTAGAATGCTCACCTCGCATGCATGAAGCCTGGGTTCAATTCCTCAGCACCACATAAACAGAAAAAGCCAGAAGTGGCTCTGTGGCTCAAGTGGTAGAGTTGCTAGCCTTGTGCAAAGAAGCTCAGGTATAGTACGCAGCCCCAGGACTGGTGGGGGGGGTAAGCGGGGTGGGGAGCTTTGTTTTGGGGCATTTTCAAATATCCAAAGTTGGAAGAATAATGTAGTGAAAGCCATGGGTCTGCAAGTGAGCACAGGAGGACCATTCTGGAGTCTAGTGGGGAGGAATGGCCCTGCAATGGTGGTAATCTCAGGGGGCATTTCCTTTCCTCCCTATATACCAAAGCTTGGATCTAGAAACCATAAGGTCAAATGAAAGCTATTTCTTGATGTTATGAAACACATTCTCTTATTTTTGTTTGTTTTTGGCAGTTCTGAAGATAGAACACAGAGCCTTAATACTTGCTACATAAGCACTCCACAAAACCCTGTTCTGAGAGAGAGAGAGAGAGAGAGAGAGAGAGAGAGAGAGAGAGAGAGTCCTGGAGGTTGAGCTCAGGGCCTGGGCACTTGTTTGAGTTTTGCTTTTTCCCCCTCTGTCAAGGCCAGCACTCTATCATTTGAGCCAGAGCTCCAACTCCAGCTTTTTGGTGATTAACTGGATATAAGAGTCTCTCACAGACTTTCCTGCTCAGGCTGGCTTTGAACTACAATCCTCAGATCTCAGCCTCCTGAGTAGCTAGGATTACAGCTATGAGCCACTGCTTTCTACCTCATGTTCAGTTTTATTGAGGTATGCAGACAGTATTTTATATAAAATATGACACCTTTCTATATTCTATGAACCTTCACAGAGTAGGATTTCTCTATTATTACAAACCCTTGATAATCATTTTAATGCTAGCAAATCACCACAACTCAACTTTCCCCCATTATTTCAACAATTACAGCTGTCCTATGAAATATATATTTCCACAAAATGCATGTTGTGAATTCAATATTGCTTAGAGTAGATTTCCTCCTGTAGAACTCATGAGTCCATTGGTAGAGAATTTTTAAAAAATATTTTGTACTTTTCTTCCTTTTTCTCTCTTTCTTCTTTTTTGGGAGGGGTGAAAGTTCTAGCAAGAATTTATTTCAGATAACAGGATTAAAGTGGAAAGAAATAGAAAAAGAGAGAAAACAGTTCTTGCTCCTTGCAGGAAGTGGTAAGGCCCTGGCCCTGCTTATCTTTGAGGTAGGGTGGTACTTTCTGCCTGGGTTGAGCTGAGCTGGGCTGTGATCTCTCTCCTGGTGTGAGGCACTGAGGACCCAGTGCTCTTGCCCTGGGTCTAGGACATCAGAAGCACACCGCCACCTTTAGACGTAGTCCCACAAATGTCTTTTTTGCCCACTTGGCCTCCAGTTGCAGATTGCTTCCATCTGCATCTCCCAAGTAGCTGGAATGACAGGCTGGAGCCATGGTGCTGACCACAGGCTCTACCTCTTAAGCATCTTACCAGCTCTCAATAGTGTTACCGACCTGGGGCTGAGCTTTTGAGGCATGAACCTTGGGGAAACAATTTAAGATCCAAACCATTACAACTTTCTTAATCTTAAATGTTAAAGCCAAACTATACTTTATTTGACAGTTCACCATTTGGAACTAAACAGTTAGTTGGTTTTTGCTTTGTGTGTGTGTGTGTGTGTGTGTGTGTGTGTGTGTGTGTGCTGGTCCTGGGGCTTGAACTCAGGGCCTAGGTGCTGTCCCTGAGCTTCTTTTGCTCAAGGCTAGCTCTCTCCCACCTGAGCCCCAGGCTCCATGTCTGGCTTTTTGGTAGGTTATTGGAGATAACAGTCTCACAGGCTTTCCTGCATGGGCTGGCTACAAAACCACAATCTTTAGATCTCAGCCTCCTGAGTAGCTAGGACGACAGATGTGAGTCATCAGCGCCTAGCTGGTATTTTCATGTTACTCAACATCACTAATGTTAGCCAAGGTCACTAATTCCAAAATATTTCCATCACTCCAAAAAGAATCCCAATACTCCCTCCTCCTGTGCACTGAACATGTCTAATCTACTTTGAATGTCTATGAATTTGCCTACTTTGAGAATATTAATACAATATGGTTTTTTTTAATGCCTGGCTTCTTCTACTTATAGTATGTGTTCAGGATTCTTCCATATTGCATCAAATGTGCCATTATTCATTTATTCACTAGTTCATGGCTATTTGGGTAGTTTGAGCTACTATGAATTCAGCCATTATGAATTTAACTACAACGAACATTTGTGTACCAACTCTGGTGTAAATACATATTTTCAGTACTCGTGGGACTTGAATTGATTTCCTAAGATTCTTTTTTTTATTGTGAATATACTGTACAGAGGGGTTACAATTACATGGGTAAGACAGTGAGTACATTTCTTATCAAGCATTGTAGCCTCCTCCTTTGTTTCCCCTTGCCATCCCTTCCCCCCCCCCCCCCCACCCAATGATTTCCTAAGATTCTTGAAGGTCATCAGGCTAACTCAGTAAGCCACAGAGGAACCAAGGACAGCACAGCAGATGAGTGTGGGAGGGAGGGATACATTTCTAATGATATCATCTTTGGCCTTGAAGGATATTTATTTAGGATCTACAACACGATAGAGTGTATGGGGGTCAGCATAAAAGGATTTGGCTGATACAGCAGCCAGCAGACTCATTGCAGTAAAAGTGCAGTGAGAAGAATGATGGAAAACAAGTCTACTCCTAGAGGTGTTTTGCTTAAGTCTAGAGTCCATCAAGAAGAAAAATAACATTGCATTTTCTTCTTTCATACCAGCTCTGACTCTCAGCTTCCACTTGCCAAGATCAACAAATATCTGAAATCATTCTTTTGCCTCCCATGAGGCAAATGATTCTCTTTCCTTCCTTGTATCAGGACTCAAGAGTCTGGGAAAACAGAGAGAATCTGTGTTTGCATGGTCATCAAGATGGTTATTGCTTGACTCCATTTTCTGATGTTAGCAAATTCACCTAATTCCCTGCTAGGCAATACACAGCCATTCCAACTTTTTAGGTCCTCTATCTTCACATACCATCTAGGAAGATTATCCTCTTACTCTAGGACTCCATGTGGGTGGGTGGGGGGATGAGTAGGGGTGGGGGTGGGTGCGTGTGTGCATGTGTGCCCGTCCTGGGGGTTGAACTC